TGAGTGTCAAGTTGTGTTCTAATCAGCTTTAGCAGCTTTTCTCATCAGCTTAGTCTTGTTAACCTGCCAGGGATGTTTAGCTTTCTCGTGAAGACACTTCTTGTTGTCTTGCGAGACAAGATGCACTTGAAACTATTGCAACAAAGGAATGGAACGTGATCAAAAATACTCAAACGCAACACAAAGTGAACCCAAGACACATTAACACAAGGTGATGAGTCCACCCCACACTACAGCAACACAATATATGAGTCCACCCCACACTTCAACAACACAATATATGAGTCCACCCCACACTACAACAATACAATACATGAGTCCACCCCACACTACAGCAACACAATATATGAGTCCACCCCACACTACAGCAACACAATATATGAGTCCACCCCACACTACAGCAACACAATATATGAGTCCACCCCACACTTCAACAACACAATATATGAGTCCACCCCACACTACAACAATACAATACATGAGTCCACCCCACACTACAGCAACACAATATATGAGTCCACCCCACACTTCAACAACACAATATATGAGTCCACCCCACACTACAACAATACAATACATGAGTCCACCCCACACTACAACAACACAATATATGAGTCCACCCCACACTACAACAATACAATACATGAGTCCACCCCACACTACAGCAACACAATATATGAGTCCACCCCACACTACAGCAACACAATATATGAGTCCACCCCACACTACAGCAACACAATATATGAGTCCACCCCACACTACAGCAACACAATATATGAGTCCTCCCCACACTACAGCAACACAATATATGAGTCCACCCCACACTACAGCAACACAATATATGAGTCCACCCCACACTACAGCAACACAATATATGAGTCCACCCCACACTTCAACAACACAATATATGAGTCCACCCCACACTACAACAATACAATACATGAGTCCACCCCACACTACAGCAACACAATATATGAGTCCACCCCACACTACAACAATACAATACATGAGTCCACCCCACACTACAGCAACACAATATATGAGTCCACCCCACACTACAGCAACACAATATATGAGTCCACCCCACACTACAGCAACACAATATATGAGTCCACCCCACACTACAGCAACACAATATATGAGTCCACCCCACACTACAACAACACAATATATGAGTCCACCCCACACTACAGCAACACAATATATGAGTCCACCCCACACTACAACAACACAATATATGAGTCCACCCTCAACACAACAACACAATATATGAGTCCACCCCACACTACAGCAACACAATATATGAGTCCACCCCACACTACAACAACACAATATATGAGTCCACCCCACACTACAACAACACAATATATGAGTCCACCCTCAACACAACAACACAATATATGAGTCCACCCCACACTACAACAACACAATATATGAGTCCACCCTCAACACAACAACACAATATATGAGTCCACCCCACACTACAGCAACACAATATATGAGTCCACCCTCAACACAACAACACAATATATGAGTCCACCCCACACTTCAACAACACAATATATGAGTCCATCCCACACTACAACAATACAATATATGAGTCCACCCCACACTACAGCAACACAATATATGACTCCACCCCACACTACAGCAACACAATATATGAGTCCACCCCACACTTCAGCAACACAATATATGAGTCCACCCCACACTTCAGCAACACAATATATGAGTCCACCCCACACTTCAGCAACACAATATATGAGTCCACCCCACACTTCAGCAACACAATATATGAGTCCACCCCACACTACAGCAACACAATATATGAGTCCACCCCACACTACAGCAACACAATATATGAGTCCACCCCACACTACAGCAACACAATATATGAGTCCACCCCACACTTCAGCAACACAATATATGAGTCCACCCCACACTTCAGCAACACAATATATGAGTCCACCCCACACTTCAGCAACACAATATATGAGTCCACCCCACACTTCAGCAACACAATATATGAGTCCACCCCACACTACAACAATACAATACATGAGACCACCCCACACTACAACGATACAACACGATGCTGACAAAGACCTCATCAATAAAGAAACACAGTGACACATAAATATGCTTGTGTTTACCATCAGTAAAAATAAGAGGACAGTCTTTAATATTCTGAACAAATAACTTTCCCAAGGGGAAATAAAGTGTTCAGAAGAGCCCAATAAAGATCAATAATAACGAGACAAGAGATAATAATATTTCTTATCTGAGAACCGGAGTTTCCACTGGGAAAATATTATATAGTGGGTGTTTAGAATCAACCCAATTACAGCAGTGCCCCGTGGGTCTGCACCCAATTACAGCAGTGCCCCTTGGGTCTGTACCCAATTTTAGCAGTGCCCCGTGGGTCTGTACCCAATTTTAACAGTGCCCCGTGGGTCTGTACCCAATTTTAACAGTGCCCCGTGGGTCTGTACCCAATTTTAACAGTGCCCCGTGGGTCTGTACCCAATGGAACAATTACCCCCTATATTAGATAATGGCGTTCGTGTTTGACATTTATTCTTTAAAGTTAATAACAATACATTCTATTGAATCTATTTCAATAAAATAGAATGCCTGTTTGATGAAGATTGTAGGCCAGATGCTTTGGCTAGCCTCACTAAAGTTTGAAGGGTAGCTTGTGCATGTATTAGGGAGTTGTCGTAAGTAGTTCAGGGTCTGCCCCATTACCCCTCTTTAAGGGGAGTCTGTTTCCATTACTAGCCACCATTAAATCAGATGAATTGAAATGGTGGTTGCCAAGTCCATAGAGTTTCAGGATTTGTTCGTTATTGACTTACGAAACGTATGTTGTGATGGCGGATTTGCATATTTTTTCTCAGCCTCAGAGTGTGGTCATTCAAGCTGCAGCTGTTCGAATGAGTCTTGTGTTCGGATTGCTGTGGTGCTCTCTCTAATATACCCTGAATTACATACACACATACACATCTGAATACACACGTGCACATACATACATACACACACACACACCTGCTAAGTGCTCATGTACGCATGGACTCACACACACACACGTACACATACATACACACACACACACCTTGCTAAGTGCTCATGTACGCATGGACACACACACACACACACCTTGCTAAGTGCTCATGTACGCATGGACACACACACACACACCTTGCTAAGTGCTCATGTACGCATGGACACACACACACACACCTTGCTAAGTGCTCATGTACGCATGGACACACACACACACACACACACACCACACACACACACACACACACACACACACACACACACACACACACACACACACATTCTCACAAACACAAACTAGTGTTTATGCACGAAAAACCCATTAAACACCCAGATAAACACCAGAACCACATACATCAACACCACCAAAGGCCAAGCCACGTGTCGACCCACATGTAAACAAAGAAATGCAATCAAAACAAAGAACTGAAGGAGATTATAAATTATAGATAAGATAATGGCCATTCATGTGGGACTAATGCTATCCGGCGAGCAACTCAGGGAGGGAAAAAAAGGCTTAGTGAAATGGTGCTAACTTTTTACTTTTCTCTAATTAGCGAGAGGAAAAATTCTTGGGTCGAGAAGGAAGCGATGAAAGCAGGAGTGTAGAGAGAGAGAGAGAGAGAGAGAGAGAGAGAGAGAGAGAGAGAGAGAGAGAGAGAGAGAGAGAGAGAGAGAGAGAGAGAGAGAGAGAGAGAGAGAGAGAGAGAGAGAGAGAGAGAGAGAGAGAGAGAGAGAGACTTCGTAATTCCTTACTGCTATTACCTTCAATCGTCCTCTCTTACACCTCTCATCCGTACCTTATATATATTGTCTTTCACCACCATTCTTCTCTACATGACCTGACAAGGGTCCAGGACGGTTCGAAACGTCGTGTCTTCCAATATTTTCAGACGTGTGGGATGAGTTTCTCATCCGGAGTTGCCTTACCCATCGAGCTCATCAAAGTTTATGTGGTGAACGTTGCACAGCGTGTCAGTAAGGCTAACAAGCATGATTTATGCACTAAAAATGGCAAGATATCTGCACATGCAAGGGTCCAAAATTCTGATCCAGACGCGTCATCGTGGAAAACTGTCGTGGAATGTGAAAAATTGCTTGAGATAGCCATGTTGGTGGTTTGTTTTGATATCGTATAATTCATCTTCCATTCCCACTGGGAAAACTATGCGGCGATTAGCTTGTTAATGCTTTCATAGTATTATCTGGACGGAACAACCATCGTAGCCTTGTATGGTAGACTTCAGAATGTTGGAAAGTTCGTCTCGTAGTGCTAACCAAATTTTAGATTTGAATGTAAAATGAATAACACAGGCCTTGCAAACCTCTATTGTTTCATTGTGTTCAAAAAGCTCTTGAAAAGAAAAGCAGATGAATGGTCGTAAGTTTTAATCAGGAAATTAATTCACTTGCGTTTACGGGTAGGAGGTTATCTTGAGGTTATCTTGAGATGATTTCGGGGCTTTAGTGTCCCCGCGGCCCGGTCCTCGACCAGGCCTCCACCCCCAGGAAGCAGCCCGTGACAGCTGACTAACACCCAGGTACCTATTTACTGCTAGGTAACAGGGACACAGGGTGAAAGAAACTTTGCCCATTGTTTCTCATCGGCGCCTGGGATCGAACAAAGGACCACAGGATCGCAAGTCCAGCGTGCTGTCCGCTCGGCTCCCTTACATCTTTGTAAGACCGGAGTTTACATCTTTGTTGAATAAACTTGTTAACTGTCGATTAATCTGATTCATCGTCGAGTAATATCCATAACTGTCGAGTAATGTGGATATTTTTTGAGTAATTTCATTTACTGTGTTGCAGTCTTCTAAAATGCCGAGTAGTGTCATTCTCTGTCGAAAAAATGTTGTCGACTGTCGAACACTCTCCGGCATTGTCAAGTAGTCACCTTCATTGTCGAATATTCTCCTGCATTCTAGCTGTGCTCACAATGTCTCGCCGTGGACAGCAGTGTTATTTAATCCATGAACAGTGGCAGATCTGATGTCATTAATAACTGATCTCATCCTGCACAAATTATTATCTGCAATGCAGTTCATTGTACAATTTAAATTTAGTTTTGAAAGCTTCGGAGAAAACAGACATATTCAGTTAATTAGTGACTTTTGGAAAGACGAAACCAGAGAGAGAGAGAGAGAGAGAGAGAGAGAGAGAGAGAGAGAGAGAGAGAGAGAGAGAGAGAGAGAGAGAGAGAGAGAGAGAGAGAGAGAGAGAGAGAGAGAGAGAGAGAGAGAGAGAGAGAGAGACAGAGAAAGAAGCAGAGAGATACAGTCAGTGACTGATTAAGAAACAGAAGTAGAGACACAGTGACACAGAGACATTAGACAGCAAAATAATTATCTGGAAAAAACTAAGGCATTACGACTGCATAGGGACAGAAGAAGAGAGATGCACAGATGAAGGCACAAAGAGAAATAGGAGAGATATACAGACCAAGAGACAAAGAGAAGTAGGAGAGATACACAGACCAAAAGACAAAGAGAAGTAGGAGAGATGCACAGACTGAAAGACAAAGAGGCGCCGTAGAGACTTACAGCTGTACAGAAAACACCTCCACAACCCCACAATGAGGCGATAAACTTAGTCGTATCATATTGAATGGCTCCCATCTCCCGACCTTTCCAAAACCCCTGACGCTTGAGACTTGTGGCTGTGGCAGCTCGTCCATCAACCAGACGTCGGAACAGATTGGGATTTGGCCGCAGATTCAGCGAAGGATGACTGAAATATTACCCCCTTACACCCTCCACTATCCTCCTATCCAGAAAGTAGGATCCCCTGACAATATTCACTCTTTCAACCTCTTTTTCCAGCCTCAGGATTCCTCCCAATCCTCTTTACCCTATCCAGAGTGAAGGATCTCAACCTATCTCTTCCACTCAGCCCATTACCCAGTCCAGAGTGAACGATTTCGACCATGCCTCTCCTGCTCACAGCATTCAACTTTCGCGTCAGTTCTCACACGAGTAAGGGAGAAAATTATGAAGCGGCTTCGTCAAACTTAATAGAAACGCAAAATTAAGTCAATATTTAGGTGTCGACACGTGACGATAACTGGTGATTAGTGATAATGTTAGTGGATCTGTTATATGTGTGAAGATACTGAAATATGCAATTATAAGGATTCATTTACATATTTAAATTTACAAATATCGTAAAAGTTTCAAGCATAGGTTAGACATATATATGAATATGTTTGGATATAGATATATTTACTATTTAGATATAAATAGTATCTGCCTCATAAGCGCCTATAAGCCTGCTGCACTTTCCTATATTCTATCTATCATATATCTTCTACAAATATTCCCATTACCTTAGTTTATGTTTAAAATAAACTAGACTAAATGATGATAAACTCTGCGGACACGGAAACCCACATTTCACTACCTTCCCTTTATCTTGAGGTTATCTTGAGATGATTTCGGGGCTTTTTAGTGTCCCCGCGGCCCGGTCCTCGACCAGGCCTCCACCCCCAGGAAGCGGCCCGTGACAGCTGACTAACTCCCAGGTACCTATTTACTGCTAGGTAACAGGGGCATTCAGGGTGAAAGAAACTTTGCCCATTTGTTTCTGCCTCGTGCGGGAATCGAACCCGCGCCACAGGATTACGAGTCCTGCGCGCTATCCACCAGGCTACGAGGCCCCTCATCTTGAGATGTTATCTTTTTTTTTTAGTGTCTCCGCGGCCCGGACCTCGACCAGGCCTCCACCCCCAGGAAGCAGCCCGTGACAGCTGACTGACACCCAGGTACCTATTTTACTGCTAGGTAACAGGGGCATAGGGTGAAAGAAACTCTACCCGTTGTTTCTCGCCGGCGCCTGGGATCAAACCCGGGACCACTGGATCACAAGTCCAGTGTGCTGTCCGCTCGGCCGGCCGGCCCCTTAGCCATATCCTGAGTAAATATTGATGTTCAATAATAGAATTGGAACCCTCGTCCATGCACTCTTTACGAACACGCATTACAGTGTCCACGGACGTGGGTTCGATCCCATCGTACAGTCACATTATTTTCTAAAAGATATATTAGGTTTTTGTGATTTTTTAATCCAGTCCTTGTAGTCTTACGTGAGGACTTACAAGACTGGTAGGTACTTAGTGTGGCTGGAGCTTCCCTTTTCTTCTGGGGTCTAACTGAACATTCCTCATATTTCTCATTGTTTGAACTGTCTATAGTCTCATATTTCTCATTGTTTGAACTGTCTATAGTCTCATATTTCTCATTGTTTAAGCTGTCTATAGTCTCATATTTCTCATTGTTTAAGCTGTCTATAGTCTCATATTTCTCATTGTTTGAACTGTCTATAGTCTCATATTTCTCATTGTTTGAACTGTCTATAGTCTCATATTTCTCATTGTTTGAACTGTCTATAGTCTCATATTTCTCATTGTTTGAACTGTCTATAGTCTCATATTTCTCATTGTTTGAACTGTCTATCGTCTCATATTTCTCATTGTTTGAACTGTCTATAGTCTCATATTTCTCATTGTTTAAGCTGTCTATAGTCTCATATTTCTCATTGTTTAAGCTGTCTATAGTCTCATATTTCTCATTGTTTGAACTGTCTATAATCTCATATTTCTCATTGTTTAAGCTGTCTATAGTCTCATATTTCTCATTGTTTGTACTGTCTATCGTCTCATATTCCTCATTGTTTAAGTTGTCTATAGTCTCATATTCCTCATTGCTTGAACTGTCTATTGTCTCATATTCCTTGTGTATGTTTCACTATGTTACCTGTATGTTGTATAAAGTGACCATGTTGTTACCTGTATGTTGTATAAAGTGACCATGTTGTTACCTGTATGTTGTATAAAGTGACCATGTTGTTACCTGTATGTTGTATAAAGTCACCATGTTGTTACCTGTATGTTGTATAAAGTGACCATGTTGTTACCTGTATGTTGTATAAAGTCACCATGTTGTTACCTGTATGTTGTATAAAATGACCATGTTGTTACCTGTATGTTGTATAAAGTCACCATGTTGTTACCTGTATGTTGTATAAAGTGACCATGTTGTTACCTGTATGTTGTATACAGTGACCACTTGTTACTGGTCCGTTGTATTAACCGGATATTCGATACTTGCAATATTCTACGACCCAATTTTACGAATAATCAAATATAATATTACCTATTTGCTCCAATTTCCCAAATATTTCTTATAATAAGTATAATATCTTTGTCCTCACTAAACTTGTATGAACTTTTGCAAGCTGCCTTTGACCTCTCAATGTTCATTCATTTTGTATTAGAGAAAGAACGATATTTCTTTCACTATGAAAGAAGAAGGTGTTGCTTTGCACCACGTAAGTCAAAGAAAATATCGACATTAATGTCAAATATCTCGTTTTTCTGCTAGGGCAAATGTTCAGTTCATAACAGCGTTAATAACGTTTTAAAAACGTTATCATCAGTTTACTAAAACGTTTTTGAAATGTTAAAGTAGTAGAAATATTTAGTGGCTATGTTCTGGCATATTTCAGGTATACTAACCAATTTCGACATGTAGGTTAGGAGTCACAATAACGTGGCTGCAGACCACACACTAGAAGTTGAAGGAAAGACGACGTTTCGGTCCGTCCTGGACCATTCTCAAGTCGATTGTCAAGACCATTCACAATCGACTTAAAAATGGTCCAGGACGGACCGAAACGTCGTGGTTCCTTCACCTTCTAGTGTGTGGTCTAGTCAACAATTTCCACGTGTTTCTGAATCTCCTTTCGGCTGTTTCATATTCCTCAGACGTGTTCGGGCAGCCGGGAGAACTAAGAATTATGTCACCGGAGGGTGCCAGCCAATCTTGGCGTAACAATAGCGGTACGAGGCTGGAACAACGGTCTCAAAGGTCAACTCCACTGTCAGATCGACAAGATAAACACAGGTTAAGGTCATATCCTTCGGGGCGAAGTCATCCGAATTTCCCCGACGGAAGATAATCATGATGAACTTTAGTCGTTCCGGAAACCGAATGTCTTTATCATTTCTTAAGACCGTTTGAGTCCTCGTCTAGTTGTGCTTGTGTGGAGTTAGCTGTAGCTCTGGGGTTCCGCCTTTCAGTCCTTGATTGACTAGGTTACACACACTACTGGGCTCTGATGTGGTGTGGGTAAGTGTTTGGGCTCTCAGGTGTGGGTACGATTACAGTGGGTCTACAAAGCTTTGGGTTCCCTTACATAATACGTCCCTTTTTAACCGAATCGACCAATACGTTAAAAATGAGAGGTTCTTTGTGTGAAAATTATAACACCGATAAACAGACGTTTTCTTGGCATCAATGTTGATAGATGGGGTGGATTGATTAGTTGCGATTGATAGACGGGGTGGATTGATTAGTTTATAGTCAGGCAAACCAGTTGTATTTTTAAAGGAGTTGCAAATCGGGAGAAATAAAATGTCTAATTAGACGGGTTGATGGTTAAGTTGGCTTTAACGACTCTACGTAACAATACAGTTTAATAGTGATTATAATGAGGGGACTTAAAGACCCATAAAAAATACAATGATATATTTTTGGCAATTTGAAGTATCTTGTTTGGGACAAAAATCAGTTGTTTCCAGGTTTACATACCTGAAATATATATATATATATATATATATATATATATATATATATATATATATATATATATATATATATATATATATATATATATATATATATGTATTCCTGGAGACTACTATTTTCTAATTGCTAACGCCTTTAATTGATAGAAAATTGACTTTTATTAACCTAAAATTTTACTTTGCTTGGTCAAACAGGTTTCAACACGAATTCCTAACAAAAGGGATAAAATAGCGAACAGCCCCAAGGGCCTAGGTAACTACCATGGACATGGGATGTAGTCCCATCTGGGAAATTGGGTGTCCCGGTTTCCTGTGGGTGTTCGGTTTCTTTTCATATGTTCGGTTTCGAGTTGGTGTTCGGATACTTGCAGGCTATTTGGCACTCCTGTGGAAGAGTGCCTGGGATTCTTCACGAGTCCTGACCAATAGGAAACGCTGTTAGTTTTATGTTGTTCTCTCATTGGCTGTTCAAAGCTTGACTGTGCTTTGAATAGCTAATAAGAGAACTGTGTGTGTGTATGTGTGTGTGTGTGTGTGTGTGTGTGTGTGTGTGTGTGTGTGTGTGTGTGTGTGTGTGTGTGTGTGTGTGTGTGTGTGTGTGTGGGTTTGTGTGTGTGTGTGTGTGTGTGTGTGTGTTATGTATACTGCAGCCCACTCAACAGCTGACTAACCCCCAGGTTCACACACTATTTACTTCTAGGTAAACAGAGGCATCAGATGAAAGAAACTCTGCCCATATGTTTCTGTCTCGGCCGGAAATCGAACCCGGGTTCGTGGAATAAACAACTGAGCTATTTAAACTATACTGGACCTCTGAAGAGATGTACCCACCTAATTGTGCTTGCGGGGGTAGAGCTCTGGCTCTTTGGTCCCGCCTCTCAACCGTCAATCAACAGATGTGTAACGCCACATGTGTAGAACTTCACACAAATCAAAAGAATTATACATGTGTTTTACTTTAATGTTTCAGGTGTTTTATAAATAGGGGAAGTGATGCAATAATTTACGTATCCACGTTCGTAAAATGTAAATCTTTCCTTATTCATGGAGGCTTCATTTACATTTATTAAATAATTTACAAGCTTCTGAACACCAAACCCAAGATTATTATTTTTATAATGAACCTCGTAGTGCTTTGGAGGTCCTAAACTGTTTAATGATTGTAAATAAAGCCTCGGTGATTGAAGAAAGATGCAGAGGTTTCGTAAGTAATTGCATAAATTATTGATAAATCGTGACACACAGCCACCTTTGAGTGTAAAGACACAGAACCAATCAACACTGCCACAGAGCCAATCAACACAGCCACAGTGCCAATCAACACTGCAACAGTGCCAATCAACACAGCCACAAAGGCAATCAACACTGCAACAGTGCCAACCAACACTGCAACAGTGCCAATGAACACTGCCACAGTGCCAATCAACACTGCAACAGTGTCAATCCACACTGCCAAAGTGCCAATCAACACTGCAACAGTGCCAATCAACACTGCAACAGTGCCAATCTACACTGCCACAGTGCCAATCAACACAGCAACAGTGCCAATGAACACTGCAACAGTTCCAATCAACGCTGCAACAGTGCCAATCAACACTGCCAAGGTGCCAATCAACACTGCAACAGTGCCAATCAACACTGCAACAGTGCCAATCCACACTGAGACAGACAGTCAGCTTATACAATCAGTCATATCAGTGAATTACTCGGACAAGCTCCAAAGAAAAATATTAAAGAAATAGCTCTATAAACACAATTTTTTCCCTTGTTAAATTTTACTAATAAAATCATCTCTTGTTCCTTCATATTTATTTATTTACTGATAAAGACAATGAATAATAAATCCGCAATCAGTAATTTGTTATATAAACTGCTTAATTGCGTTTGTACAAATTAGTTTAATACTACCTCATTCTTTTCACAATATATTTGAAATTTATAATTAATTTTTATACAAATTTATATAAAATATATCAAAAAGAATATACATATATAATGCAATTTGTTAACTGTGTTCTTATTAGACCTATGGATCATCTCTACCCACATTAGGCCTATATAATAGGGATACTAATATAAGTTCTAGCACTATAGGCCCAATAGGCCTATATAACAAGGCTATTTTTATAAATTCTAGGCACTATAATCACACTTGGTCTATATAACAGGAAAGAGCCTCGATATATACGTAAAGACTATATATTCACAGGCTTCCTGTCCCGCCAAAACGAATTTCTAAATTTCTAAATAGAAGAATGTATAAAGGAATCCAAAATGTGTAATACATATCTTGGCATATGTATACATTCATATATACAGATAATAAATGCATTTATGTATATATAAATGTACAATTTCAAAAAAATGAAAATTAAATAATTTTAAAATATAATTTTTTTCATTAAAGAAGGATAAATATATAAATATTAATCATTCTGAATGATAAATTTGTAACTATTTATAGAATGAAAAATATGTAGAGAAAGATAATCAGTTACATATTTTATAATATATATGATAATATGTGATCGAGATGTATTGATTGTTGCATTAATTGTTTCTAGATTGTTGCACACTCTCTCTCTCTTCCTCAAGAGCAACATACGCAGAAACAATATATACAACATGTGTCTGTAGGGAACACATGTTCCATTTACACGAACAGAACAAGCTGAAACACGCCCTAACTGCTTCAAACGAATCTTAAAAAATGGTGCAGTTCGAATTGCTTCAAACCAAAACTATCTTATGATAATATATTAATAAAATAATAATAATTGCAAAACAAATTCTGATTATATTAATTATAATTAAAAATAAAGTGAAAATAATACGAATAAGATAAAGAAATAATATTTACATTGCAAAAACAATAAATACTGATGTGAAAACTCGTAATAAAGATGGGAGGTGTAAGTATATATGTATATATATATGTGTGGTGGAAGGAATATATATATATGGCAACTCTTGCTCAGAGGGGCGGGTCAGATCGGCTATACGCAGTGACTAGGACTCAGTTGCCCTTCAGACGGTGTAGGGAGAGGGTGTCGCTCTCCCACTCCCCAGAAACTCTGTGGCTGTCGTGTTTAACCCAAGTCTCGTCTACAAGGGATAACGAGTGGATTAGTGATGCTAAATGAAGTTTAATAAGTGACTGATTTAAAATTTAATGAGCCTCATTGGTGTAGTTTGAAATGAGGTGGTTGGAAATCTGAATTCAACGTATATAAAGATTTCTTAAACATTTATATTTGTGTTATAAGACAAGGTGATAAATGGATTCTTTGAATCAGTCTGCTTCTTAACTACCCTTCAGTAACTACCAGGTGAGTAATTATATTATAATCAGATGAATATCCCATATGTGATGAAACTTGAAACTGAAACAGAACAAACTTTTGGCCTTCCATTTAGCAAATCTCGTAGGCCTAAACTATACATTAAGACACAAATAATAAATGAAAACTAGAATGCCAGCACAGGTAAAACACTCATATAATATACAGCCATATTTCATATACAAAGGTATATGACAACTAATTAATATACCTTATTATATATAATATACAAACACAATTAGCTTGCAACAGAACCTGTTGCATTTTGACAACATCCAATCACAGCATTTTGATTGTATTTATTGATAAAAAAATACAGAAAATGCAGCTGTAATTAACCATAATAAAATAATAGGCAATTCACTAAACCCAAACCATTACAAGGGTTGAAATGGGGACTAGCAGACGAGCCTTCAGACACTCCATTAACTTAAGGCTACCATTAATTGGTAGTTAACACACTATTAATAGTGCTGAATAGTTTTTAGGTTCCATCACTAAACTTTGGACCAAAATATACAAAATAATAAAAAAATTATCAACAATTATAATTGTAAATCATAAATTAATTAAATAAACTTTAAGAACTTGTATGAGTGTGTTTGGAGTATGTATGAAGTATGTATGATCTATTAACCCCGAAGGTTATACAATGTATGATTATTAACAACAATAATAGAGACTTATACATGCATGTATACGGTTGTATTGAGTATGTCAACAATATGGGCTGAGCTATACATTACCATGTATGAATGTATGATTGGATGAATAGCAGCAAAACTAGTGAACTATGTATGATATCTATCATCATACTTTGTGTATGATGAAGGTACTGAGTGAACCACCTGATGATAGTGAGACATGGTGGAGGATAGTGTGACATGGTGGAGGATAGTGAGCCATGGTGGAGGATAGTGTGACATGGTGGAGGATAGTGTGACATGGTGGAGGATAGTGTGACATGGTGGAGGATAGTGTGACATGGTGGAGGATAGTGTGACATGGTGGAGTATAGTGAGCCATGGTGGAGTATAGTGAGCCATGGTGGAGGATAGTGAGCCATGGTGGAGTATAGTGAGCCATGGTGGAGTATAGTGTGACATGGTGGAGGATAGTGTGACATGGTGGAGTATAGTGAGCCATGGTGGAGGATAGTGTGACATGGTGGAGTATAGTGATATTTTCCTGTAAATTGCCTAACAATTTACAGGCAGTTACTGGCTGTGGCCTGTGTGACGGTGTCACCGTAGGCAGTGTGTGACGGTGTTACAACAAACAGTACTCTATGTAACAGTGTTATTTATCGAGTAACAACGGTGAATAAAGCTGGAAAATCACAGTAATATCTGGAATAAAGTGACTTCCTGTTCGAAAAGCAAACTTGGAATTACTGTTTTTTGGAAAACTGTGAATGATTGAAGATCCTTAGCAACACTCTTCTTGAACTTAGTTAAGTTTTGAAGTGTGCTTTGCCTCGGAGATTGCACTAAGCTTTAAGGACTCAACTCACAGACTAATTAGCGTGAACGATCCTTAAATTAGCAATTCCTGCTGGTTATCTGATATATTTTCTTGTCGTCAAATGTTTGTAAGATATCATGTCTATGTTTACAGTATTTCTGGCGGATATCTCGATGATATTTATGAATAAAGTGTAAATAAATAAAGTCTTATCAACCCTCTAGACGGGTAGTAAGGCTTATCAGCCACTAAAGGGTTATTAAGGGTTAACAACCTCTTAATCTTTATTAAGGGGCCAATAATCTTTGAAACGTTATCAATGATTATCAACCACTCAAGAGATATTGAAGATTATAAACCTCTGGAGTGTTTCTAAGGCTTATCAAGCACTGGGGGTTATTAAAACGTTTTAACCTCTGGAAGGTTACTACTGCCAAACAACTTCTGTATGGTTATTAAGTTTCATAACCAGCAAGCAAGTTTACATATATCTTGAACATAGTCCAGAACAAAAGTAAACTCAGTGTATTCTCACCGAGTCGAAGAAGTATACCTCTCTATATATAAAAATTAATATAATTTTAGCAGATGAGCTTAGGATAAGACAGCTTAGGGAATGTGTCTTAAAGGCTGGAGATGCGTGTCAATGCGTCAGTGCATGCATCAATGCGTCTAGATAAGGAGATCACAGCCGTCGGGAACCTCTAAGACTTCTTATCTAAGCTGAGATAAAGGAGAAAGCAAAGCTTGAAGAGAAATAACAGTCGTCCTCAATACAGTAGAGGCATAAGCAGACACAAAAATACTTTCTACCCAGGAACCAAAAACTTGGACACAGAAATCACAATTCTGAGATCACAAAGAAACAGAAATCACAATTCTGAGATCATAAAGAAACAGAAATCACAATTCTAAGATCACAAAGAAACAGAAATCACAATTCTAAGATCACAAAAAAACAGAAATCACAATTCTGAGATCACAAAAAAAACATAAATCACAATTCTGAGATCACAAAAAAACAGAAATCACAATTCTAAGATCACAAAAAACAGAAATTACAATTCTAAGATCACAAAGAAACAGAAATCACAATTCTAAGATCACAAAGAAACAGAAATCACAATTCTAAGATCACAAAGAAATAGAAATCACAATTCTAAGATCACAAAGAAATAGAAATCACAATTCTAAGATCACAAAGAAACATAAATCATAAATCACATCTCTGATTTGATTCATAAATCACATATGGTGGTTAGCATTGTAAATGTCTGGCCACGTCTGTGGCAGAAAATAATACTAATAATAACAATAATAATGAAATCACGCTTTCAACTTCTTTTGACCATGTCGTAGCTCAGTCGATTAAGGCAGCGTCTGGGATGCTCTCGGACGTAGGTTCGAATCCTCGTCACGGCCCTTGTGGATTTGTACACCAAAAACTTGGGTTTCTGTGTTATTGAGTAATTTTTGATGGGCTTGGTAGTGCAGTTAGGTTCGTTCCCCGCTCACAATCGAGAAATTCCGGGTTCGAATCCCGGACCGGACAAAAAATATTGGGAGCGTTTTGTTTCACCTAATGCCTCTGTTCACCTAGCAGTTAATAGGTATCCAGGAGTTAGTCAGCTAGTTGTGTGGTGTTGAATCCTGGGTGAGGTTAGTAATTCGACACTGGGAGAGGGGGGGGGGGAAGGGGGTTACCTTAATATAAGCCTAACATGTATACATACACTGGCTGCCTGTCCCCTCGACACAATAAATCATCTGGGTATTACTCAGAAAATCCTTTAGAGGGATAATTTGTATAATAATTATTTGTTTTTAATTAGAGACATTATAGCTGTAAGGGTGAAAGAACGGTATTCAAACACTTTGGACCTTCGGGGATCGAACGCGGATCCTGTACGATACCGTCGCTATTCCAGTCCAAGCCAATGGAATTTCCACCTCACATTTTTTTATGACTTCCAATGCTCGTTAGATTTCTGGCGCTCTCAGGGCAAAATAGAGAAAAACATATATATATATATATATATATATATATATATATATATATATATATATATATATATATATATATATATATATATATATATTTAAGAACATTTTACCCAATTAATTTATATTTGACATTACAAATTTAAATTAATTTACATAAAACAGTTTTTTGTCAGTCCATTATATGTAAGATTTGATGAATTTAATTTTCTTTTTATTTAACATTTTGGTGAGTTATCTTGAGAGGAAATTACATATTAATTCTCAGCCCTAAATATATATACAGTTTAGTGAGGCATATGTACTTAAGAATAGTCCAGTACATGTTAATCCTTATCTCAACAATGTTTAAATGATTACCATTATTTAAAAATAAATTTCTTACTCAATTAATTTTCACCAATATTAAATAATATACAAGTATGCAAAAAATATTTTGATTAATAGTCAAAAACAAAAAGATTAAATAATTTTTCAAAAAAGAAAATTTTCAGTCAAAAAGATTAATAGTTTTTAACTTTAACTATAAGATCCCCAGCAAAAAAACATAATTGAGCAATTAATCAACATTGATCAACGTTAAATGGATCAATATTTCATCAATTAACGTTTATTTAACGTCTTATAAACGTTGGAAAAACATACATTTACATTAATTGAACAATTAATGAACATAGAGACATTGTTTCATCAGTGTCATTTGCCAGGCTTATCCTTGGGGGATTGACGGTATCTTTAGATACTTTCCCCTGGGAGATTAACGGTATCTTTAGATACTTTCCCCCTAGGGAAGTGACGACCCTTTTCTGTACATAACTTCCATAAAATAATCTCACTTGAATTCTTCAAATCCTTAACAAAAGGTAAAAGGCTTTTTTTGCAGATCAACAGTGAATTTAAAATATTTATGCTTGGGACTTTCAACAAAAGAATACTAAAAAATGGCCAGAAGGTTCACCTCTGGTACATAAAAGGGAATGGAGGAATTTACATAACAATTATAAAAGAGTCAATTTAGATTTAAATTTCAGACAGGAAAAGACATTGTCATTTAGTAAGCATTTTACTCCAGCAGAAACAGCGGTTTTTCTGCATAGTAGAAATAGCCATTCTGTCTGTCTGTCTGTCTCTACAGTGGTTCTATCTCTCTCTCTCTAGCAAAAAACAATTGTTCGTTCATGGAACTTGGGTGATTGGATTACTGGGGGTCTATGACCCCCTTGGGAGGGCCATTTTTCTCCAGTCATTTAAGGTGAGTGAAGCTGAACCAGGCATAGTGTTGCTGACTCTTAATCCAAAGTGTGTGTGTATGGGGGGGCGGGGGGACATTGTGGAAAAGAGGGGTGTGGAATGGTCCCCTGTCACATGGAAAAGAACCTCGCCTCTATAGGGTCTCTCTGCTCTTCGTTTCTCCTCAATTTATTCCCATTTCCTTTTTTTATTTCCGACTTTACGCTCTTGGAGTAACTGCCCGCCATCTACTCTACCTTCACACACTGCACACGCCTCGGGGCTCCTCCAGA